ATCAATAGAATCTTTATTGGTTTTATAAATATTTGTTTGGTTTGTCGCTGTTGTTGCGCGACTCGCAGCCCTTTAAGCCAAAGTTTCAGCAACAAAAGACTGTTAAAAGAAAAAGCGCCTTAGCCGCGCTGCTTATGCAAAGTTACGACTTTGTTGGGGGGCGCCTTGTCCTTGACAGCGGACATTTTAAGCGGCTTTAAAGCCGATTCGAGTTCGAGGGTTTGACATTGGGGGTTGCACGATGATGGATTTACCCCGTGACCTGTGCGCACTCCTCTCAAGCGTAAGCCAAATTCAATCACAGATCCTTTTAATATGCCACCAAGTTTTGCCCCCGCTAGTGCTAGGGCGACGCAGTTGGCTTTTGAGATTCTTTTCTTGTTTCCATCGAGTAGTTGAAGCATAGAATATTACTCATACGCACTCGTGTACTGAGCCCAGCCCCCAGGGGCAGCAAAATATTGCCGAATATTGTGAAATATATGTGCGGCCGCATGTGGGCAGCTACTGTGTGGGGCATGCGACGTGCGGCATGCGGCATGCGGCTTGATTGATTTGAATTCCCTGTCAAGGCTGGCTGCACTAAGAACTAATCAATTTGTCGGACAGCAGTTCTTTACAGATTCATATCTGAATTGCAAATGAGAGCAGCCTCCAGCCCCGACCAGCTCCGCTCAGCTCCTCGAGCCTCGAGCCTCGAGCCTCGGGGCTGGAGGGCCAGCAGCCAAAATGGAAAATAGCTGACAAAATGACTTGCGGTAGATAACAAATTCATAACATTTAATTACGTGCAATTTACGAATATGTTAACACCGCCATCGATAAGGATTTTGTTGTTGGCACTTTGTCGCTCTATTGGACGAGCGATTGATACATCTGAGCGATTGATGAGCGATTGCTGATAGCGCACAAAAGGCTAAGCAACAGGCCAGACGACAAACGAGAGTCGACAGCCTACAGATGGCTGACTGCTAGCCTCAGCAGTTGCCAAAATGGTAATGGCCAAATGTTCAATTCTCTCTGCTCAACTAGCGCTCGCCCATTCAATGCTCTGCATATTTATCTAAGGCCAGCAGACGGCTCGTTTATTTGCCCAGCGCTGGGCGCTACATGTGTGACATGGGAAGCGCGTCACATGTGCCCGTCATATGTCGGCAGCCCGCAGAGGTGGCTGGGGCAGAGGCGGAGTGCGGTGGATAGGAGCTGCTTTGATAATCCAATGATGGGATTGTCCGAAACGAAATCATGATGTCAATGCGGAAGGCTTACAGCTGCCTCTGCAACTGCCGCTGCAGTTGCATGGCCACACGTGCTGCACACATGCCACAGAGGGGCGCCTCGCAAGTGCGTACTTCCGACATTGATAAAACACCGAATGCAGCTCTGATTCAGCGATAACAGCACACCCATATACATATACTTTCGACAGCCAAATACTTTATACACTTGCGAGTCATAAACCAACAAAATATTGCTTCTGTGCCAGAAGCCAAAAAGTTGTTAATATTTTATTATCTAGTCTTAAATTTGCTGAGTGAAGAAATTTTATTTACTCGCGAATCAAATTTCGCACCCATTTTACAATACATATATCAAGAGCTTTGGTTTATTTGACTTTATCAAACTGCGCTGTTGAGAAATTCAATTTGAATGGCAAGGATTTAACAATTGATAAACAAAAGCTTTGACTTAAAGCGCAAATTTTATATATTTTGATACGATTATGTATATTCAATAAAATGCTTAGACTCGAGCCTGTATCTCCTTTTCTTTGCATTTCATATTACATGCCAAGGCTGAACTACCCTTAGCACAGCCATATGCAAACTAACGACCCACATACATCATACTATTTGGTATTTCGTCACTAGTTTGCGCATTTGTCTTTGCCGTGTGATTATTTGAGCTTTTTATAGATTAGTGAAACAGTGTATAAATACATATGCTTGCATTACAACAGCCATGCCATTTACGATAGTAATAAATGTGTGCATAAGAATGCACCTAGAGCGTCACAGCTTATAAATACATGTCGAATATGCCAGTCATCATGGGTAAACATTATATATGCCGCCATGTAGCAGACAACATATCAGACTATATTTATATCTGTTTAACGACGAGAACTTTCGTTTATCAATTGATTTTGAATCAAGTGAACAGCAGCTAAACACATTTTTAAAAGTCTTTCGATTGACCAAAGAGAAATGTAATCAAAGATAAATGTAAGCCATTTCTCTTGGCAACGCATTGTAGGTCAAGTCCTTGCGAAGGAGAAAATGTGCAACAGCAAAGCTCGAATTTCACTTCTGTTTTCCTTTGCGTCATTTTCTTGTAATTAAACGGTAATAAATGACGCCGTAGAATGACTGGGCACAAAGCAGCGAAACACAATGATAACGATGCGACCGACTTCCTTATACCCAGCTGGACTAAGCAATAAACTTGACACTTCAATCTAGTCTTAGTCGATAAACTTACTATTAATCAGATTCCTAGATATATTGAACATTTCTTGAGGTGATTCTCACATAAATCTTGTTGAGTGGTACCTTTAAATTGCCTTCTAAATACTCTACACAGTTGCCAGGATAATTTACGTTCCACTTTCCAATATTTTGTGAAATATTCTCTACACTCTAGTTTGTATTTATTGTATATTACGATCTTATAAGGTTACGTTGTATTTTTAATGATACACTCTTCTTTCGAATTAAGACCACTATTTAGTCTACTTTGCTATCGAACTGCAACTCTACACTTTTGTAGACTCGACTTTAGACTCAAAACTCTGATCATACTATTCGTTCTTTTTGTTCTAGAGCATATATATCCTCTTACTCCGAAAGGATGTTGACTTTCTTTCTTCAAATCTTCAAAGTAAACTACAGCCTTTCAATGTTTTCTAAAGACATCTTTACACACTAATCTTCATATTCTACATTCTGGGATAGCCTTACTCTACATTTAACGTAAGTCTCCATTCGACATAATCTACTTGGTAAATTTTTAGACTCCACACATCCTACAAGCTTTTCTGTTCTCTACCCTCCAATATACACCCCCCTAATAACTTTGCTAAATTTTCTGGGCTTTTCTCTATACAGTCTACCATTCTACGCTATAAAATTCTCTCTACTTCAGATTTATCCTACATTCTTCGTGTTCTTTTTCGTTGTCTGCACTTTATCTATCGCGAATTTTTCACTTTGCCTACTAGCTACTCTTCGAACTGCTCTACACTCGACTCTCCGATTTATTCTACATATTGTATCTGTTTGGAGAGTACTTTAATCTCTATTCTGCACTTTGTCCATTCTTCAAGTCTACATACTTCCTCAACCATCCCATTTGTACTTCGTTTTTCTATACATTCCACTCTATAGTCTCCATTTCGCCACATAGTCAAAAGTTCCGCACTCTACTCAACACTCTATTCGGTATCCTTACTCTGGTCTAACGAGCATCTTTTTCTTCCGTATTCCTTACGTGCATCCCACCAAGCAGTTGTAGCTAAGGCAAGTAAGATAAATGACCAACTAATTGTCGAGTTGACAGAGCAGGTGATAAATGTAAATGGTTAGCAGAAGAATAACAAGAAACTGAACGTTTTTCAGGCAATTGATATTGGCATTAATTTTCTGCTAAATTAGCATGTTGATTACTTTGAAATGCATTTATCATTGTAAATGGAATTATATGCACTTATATATGCTTATGGAAGAGCAACGAAGGTTATTTACTGCTGCTGCAACCTTTTGAAGCCTTATCGCTACAACAAAATCACGAACAGAAATAGGCGCGACAACTGTATTTACTAAGAAGGGGCATTCACTATCGCGTGCTGCTGGCAGTGATTCATCCGAAGCGCTGCAGTGGGGGTCAGTGGATCGTCGGTGGGTGAGGGCGGGCGGCCGAGTGCCGAGGCGGGAACTCAAGCGTAACCCATTTAGATAAATGCAGTCAGCTGGCTGTAATATTTGCCAAAAAGTAACGATGGCGATAACAAGACGGGGTCAAACAGAGCCACTCGAGCGTCCTTGAGCATCCTTTGCAGCTGATTCTGACAGCGTTTACACTTGAAATTGAATAGTTAACTGAAGGGGACACAGGGGGACAGAGGGACACAGAAGCCTTGCGCTTAACCCTGTCCGGGTTGTTCTAGTGAAGGCGTGACATTGTCGTTTGCCTTAAAAACTTTCGCAGAGTCTGCTGCTGCTGCTGTTGCTACTGGCCTGGCCTGGTGCATGGGGGCGTATGATTTATGCGCACTACACATACGCACTGTGTGCCACATGCAACCATAATAGATACACGAGGCAACGGCAGCAACAGCTGCCTTGAGATGGCCCAGCCCAATGTCCGCTGGGACAAGAAATTGATTTGCCGCTCACGTATGGCAATCACATGTAGCTATGCACCCAAGCGGCTATCTCCCTCTCACTCTCTCTCCCACTCTTACTCTCTCTTTCTCTCGTGTCCTAGACGACGATTTTAATTATGCTTGTCATTCAGAGCGCTGGCCCAGGCATATCAAGTGACTTCAAAAAAATCATGGCTGCACAAACTCTTTGAAATTTCTCGCACGCAATTTATTAAAGTCGAGTCGATAGCGCCACACGGCGCTAATTGTATTAGCCAAATTATAATTAAATCAATACCCAGACGCCCGAAAGCCGAAACTCAAGAATTAAGTCCATTTGCTGATTGTGCACGGAGCGGGAGTCAACACGAGTGCAAATACTCCAAAAGCCACTTTACAATTGAGCTAAATCGACCAGTCAATATGCACCCCGCCAATACACTCGGCCCTATTCCCGCATGGCCGCCCATTCGATTTGAATTAATTAGCCGAAAGCCAATTACGCAAAACGTCGACTTACGCAAAATGTTGGCCAACAGCACGCAATCAAGCGGCCCAGTGGGAGCTGGCCTGCAGGACGCGTCACGATTTGCCCAAGAACTCTGCAAAAACAAATACGAGTGGGCTGGCTGGCTGTCTGAATGACTGAATGACTAACTGACTGAATGACTGAGTGACTGAGCGCGAGTTGCCTTTATGAGAACATGTCCGACGACCCAAAGAGTCGCGTTAATTTGACAAGCCGCTCGCTCAACGTATGCCCGAGGCAGACACTTAAAGTGTCGCTGCGACGCGATGATGAAGTGCGTCGCCGTTGCGAGCTCAAAGCGGCGAGTCGGTGCTGCGAGTCGGAGCTACCACAGTTTGCACTTAGCTGCAACTGGCACACGTGCGCGGCGCAAGGAGCAGCCAATTAAATGGAAAATGTTCTCATCGTTGTCATAGCTTGATTGATGCCGCAGCAGTTGGCAAAGTGGCAAGTGGCAAGTGGCTAAAGGCTCGAGCCAAGTGGCAAGTGGCAAGTGGAAAGCTGCAGGCTGCAAGCTGGCCATGCTTAAAGCTTAAACGCTTGCCACACACCCGGCCATTTGTTTGGCGCGAGCTGCGGTAATAGATACAGAAACCAGATACCGAGCACACACAACAATAACGGTAAAGATAGCGGCAACAGCTTAATTGTTGTACTATATCTTTTTGTATTTCAGTGATACCCTGTACTTACTGATATGAGTGAAAGCGAAGGGTAGAGCAGAAGTAGAAATATTGCTTAACTAGACAAAGCTCATTATCGATATTTATCGATTTCCAATTTCAAAATGAAGAATATACATGTAGTTAAATAATTTAGTATTTGAGTAGAGATTTTTTTAGTTTAGCAATTTTTATTTTTAAGTTTTTATTTCAATAAATAATATCTCATTCGTATAGAGCTCATAACTCTGGTGTGATAACTATGCAGGTAGAGAAAGTATAATCATTGTACAATTTAAGCAAAGTGGGAAGGTTGATTAATCAATCCTATGCGTTAGAGTGGGATTCGTGCTAAGCTCTCTTTAGTTTTGAATGTTTTTGATGACGTGTTTCCCGCTAAGGTCCTTAGATATATATTCATTCATTTTCATAGCCTGAAAAGTTAACAAGTGAGAGCAATTAAAGAAGAGTACACAGGGTATGCTTTAGTCGTGCACAATTACTGCTGCTAGTTAGTTGCTGGCGCTGCAGTCTTATCGACTTCGAGCTGAACATGGAATGTATTTTTGGCAAATATTTATCAATTTATTGTACTAAAAAATTGCTACAATTACTCACGTATATATATGCGTGTGTGTGTGGGTGTGCAAATGTGTTTACATGTGTGTAAACGTGCCGAACGATGATTAATTTTGCTCTCTTGTTCTCCGCAGCTACATAGAAAGGCTCGTGTGTGAGGGGTCACAAGGGAGCAGGAGTAGTAGCAGCAGCAGGAGCAGCAGCAGGAGCAGCAGCAGCCGCAGCGGCCACAAGGGAAGGATAACTTGTGGCACACATAGACACACACATACAGAGGCACAGCGCACAGCTGCAGACATGGCAAACATGGCGTATGCGCAACATGCAACTGCAACAAGTGCAACAACATATGCTATTTCAGTTCACTTACTGAGCAATTCGCGTCAATTAGGCTATACACGCTCCAAGGCACAACATAATTGAAGCTGTCTGCAATTGCCATTATTACTACAACAGCAACAACAACAAAGGAGGAAAATATTGAAATCGAAAATTAAATCAAATTTATTGAACGCCTCAATTCGCCTCTGCCAACATGTCCGAGTTTCGGTTCTTTTCGTACACCGACTTTGCTTTCAGAACGAATCACTCGCAGAATCTGATCAATCTGCCCTTTACGCAATACCATGCCGCCGCCAGTACTCAGCAGACGGAGCAGACGTCGGCGGACATCGAGCTGAATGTGCCGTACACCGTGTTCGAGGTGCTTGTGGCCATCATCAGCATCATTGGCAACCTGATGGTGATCATTGTCTTCCGGCGCGAACGGAAGCTGCGCCGCCGCACCAACTACTACATCGTCTCGCTGGCCATGGCCGATTTCCTGGTTGGCTCGCTGGGCGTGCCCTTCGCCATACTGGCCTCCATTGGCTTGCCCAAGAATCTGCACGCCTGCCTCTTCACCGTCTCGCTGCTGGTGGTGCTCTGCACCATATCCATCTTCTGCCTGGTCGCCGTCTCCGTGGATCGCTACTGGGCCATACTCTACCCGATGGCCTACTCCCGCAATGTGCGCACCCGCACGGCAATTGGTAAGTGAAAGGCGGGCAGACGCCTCCAGCTAATGCATCTCTATATTGTCAAACTTTCCTGTTGCATCTGCTGTGGCAACAATGCCATAGATAATGGCCAACAAATCAACATATTGCACATTGTTCTGCCTGATACGGCCTGCCGGCCATGTTTGAGTTGCGGCTTTGTGTGGCCTGGCAGGAATTTCATAAAACAAAAGAAACGAAATGAGAACAAAGCACTGAATGCAGCCAGGACTGCTTTAAGGATATTCAAGGCTATTTATTTCATTGCAAAAGAGATGAATTGATGTAGAAACCAGCTTGACAACAGCTTGAGTAGGCCATGTAGAACTAATCAACGAGAAATTGAGACTTACATGACATAAAAGGAAAACCGAAAGACAGAGTGGTAGCAAAAGTAGTAAAGAAAAGTCTTGAGCGACTCATTTCAGTTGTGTTTCTTTGTTTGAGGATTATATGAATTCCTGGTAACACATTCTATAAAATTCAATCTAAAATATGTATCTGCTGCATCAAATCATTTCCCATCTCTAATACTTTCATGCCCTTAAAATTCTTCCACAATTACAGTAAATAATCATTTAGAAAATATATATTAAAATATATTATAGTTCTTGCAGCTTATTATGGAAAGAAACCAAAGTTAAGTCATTAAAATCATTATACCCTATTGCGCATTCTTAATGGGCTAGGGATAAAAACTATAAAATAAAAAGCCATATTTAGGTTATAAGCTGCAAAGATAAAAATCATCGATAAATTATATCCTTTCACTATCCCTAGGGTACGATATAGTATGATACGCTTACCACTTTTCAGCAAAAATACAACTGCATTTAGCTAGAAAAATGCAAGGATAAGTACTGAGTAGGCAAGAAACTAAGTACGTAGAGTATTGAACTCGAATGGCCTTCAAGTACTGCCAGGCTAGGCTTACATACTCTATAAGTAGCGATAAATGTGTAAGAGAATTATTTTCCAATCAGAGGACGAAAACAAGCATTTAGGGATTACATTAAGTACTTGAAACATATTTCATTAGCCACAGTATTAGTAGAGTACTACATGTATAGCCAGAGAGGGAGAGAGAGAGTGGGAGATTATGTATAATATATGTAAAGAGTGTATAGCAGTGTAGTGTTAGATATGATACTTAAATTAATAATTAATTGAACATGAACATAAGTTTAGCTGCATGGCTGATGGCGAGCGACAGTCGAGTAGCCATAGAGAAACATGTACAAATTCGAGCCATGGCTGGAGCATGCATTGAGACATGAAGAATTAATGAGAAATCGATTTAAACGAATACGAAGGACATGTGGCTTAATTAAAATGACATGGCACAAAGCTAGTGCTGGGAGAAAAGCAATTATGAATTTGTTTGGCATAACATCTTGCTTGGTGGTGCTGCTGTTGCTGGAACCTATTAAAGAGCTCTGCTCCGGCTCTGGACTGAACGCAAAAGAGGGGCAGAGAAAAAAGGAAAACAAAAAGTTTTCTATTGACATAATGGGAAAAGAATTAATTGCTTTTAATTACATATCCACAGCATTTGGTTAGCTCGGCGAAGTTGATTTCTTTCTCTTTTTTGGGTTCGATGGCGTGTGCGTCATTGGGTCAAATGCATTTGGTTCAATGTACTGTTAGGAGTGGAACGACTGCAGCAAAGCCAGACAATAGCCAGAGTAGACAGAGTGATGAGTGGCATCCATGCAGCTAGTCGTAGCTCTCATTAGCATTTTCAGTGAGCCGACAGTTGAGTCATGAGTGGTGCGATGACGTCAAAGTGCCAAGGACTTGTGTGGGGCTTCGGCCTCGCTGGCTGTGTCTGCTGTGTATGCTAATCCAGTGCATCATCCCTTTTGCAGTCATCATATCCGTGTGCTGGTTGGCTGGCGCAATTGTGGGCTTTCTGCCGCTCTTCGGCTGGCACGCGGATGTGCCCCACGATCAGACCTGCCTGTTCGTCGAGGTTATGGACTACAACTATCTGGTCTTTCTGTACTTTGCCACCATCATCACGCCGGCCCTGCTCATGCTGGCCTTCTACACGCACATCTATCGAGTGATTATCAAGCAGGTAAGTGCAGCCCCTCGTCTATGTAATGCTGGAATGCACTTCAGCTCTCTGCTAATTGCCGCAGGTGCGCCAGATAGTGACCATGAATCCCGCATCGGATCTGAGCCGACGCTCCTCCACCGCCCAGATGCAGGTGACCACAACGGGGCGCGGCGGCCACACGGGCACCATGCTCCGCGTCCTGGGCGCCGCACGCAAGCGGGACGTGAAGGCCACGCAGAATCTGTCCATCATTGTGCTGTTCTTCATGATCTGCTGGATACCGCTGTACACGATCAACTGCATCAAGGCCTTCTGCCCCAACTGCTATGTGCACCCCAAACTGACGCTCTTCTGCATCATACTCTCGCATCTGAACTCGGCGGTCAATCCCGTGCTCTACGCCTACCACCTGAAGGACTTTCGACTGGCGCTGAAGAACCTCATGCTGAGGCTGATGGGCGTGGACATCGATCAGCAGGCGGAGGCCATACATCGCTTCTCGCTGGCCAGCCAGCACCGCCTGCAGTCCATGGACTCCACCATGCGCACCACGCAGCCGCGCATGTATGTGGGTGAGTGTGAGTGCGCGTCGTCTACTTTAATGCTTAGCGAATGGCGAGCTAATGATCCTCTCTCCCGATTCACAGACTCGCCCATTTGGCTGCGCCAGCAGCAGGAGGCGCTCAAGAACTCCCAGCTGCTGCCCAAGTGCGGCGTCCTCACGCCCTGTGTGAACAGCATCAATCAGACGGTGGCCGCCGCCGTGACCGCCTCCACGGACATTGAGCGCGACATGTGGAACATTGTGGAGGCATCCAGCGGAGCGGAGCTAGGCGAGATTAGCTATGAGTTTCCCAGCGCCAAGCGGGAGAGCGATCATGAAAGCAGCGCCTCGATTTCAGCGCCGGCGACTGCGCAGCCAGCTGTGCAGTCAGCGTCGCAGCAGCAGCGCTGCGACAGCGCTTTCTCGTACGACAACCAGAACTACTCGACGGGACCTGAGGACGGCATCAGCCTGCCCGACGACCTGGACGAGTATGAGGACGTGTTTGTGCCGCCAAGCGGCAACCACAACTACCAGGGCGTCGATCCCGTCGAGCTGCGTCGCTCGTTGGCCTGTGTCATGCGCGAGAAGCTGCGCAGCGATGACACCGACTACTACAGCCAGCAGGCTGCACTGCAGGATGCCAGCAGCGGTGACCAGGAGCTGCCGTCCACGCTGGAACGGGTCAGACCCTGCTCCACGCGCACCTCCCCCAGCAACGGAACACTGCCGCAGCAACTGCGCGCCAAGCTGCTCGCCGGCAACTCGAACAGCGATCACTGCCTGCCCCTGCCCAGCACAGGTGCCAACAGCGCCGGCATCTATGTCATCGATGGCGCCACGAATCCCCTGTCGCCTGGCCACAAGCCGAAGTATCGCAAGTCCACGGCACTGACGCGCAACTCGCGCAAGAAGAGTCGCTCCTGCACCTGCGCCAACGAACAGAAGCAGGCGAGCCCTGGCGAAGCAGCCAACTCTACAGCCGGCCAGCCTAACCATAGTCTCAGCACCAGGCAGTCGGAGGAGTCGCCGCCAGCTCAGACGAGTCACGAGCACTTCTTCAGTCCGCTCAAGTCAGTGGGCAGCTTTATGCAGCATTCCAATATTTTTAATCTCTTCCAGCCGCACGCAACGGCGACCACAGCCCCAACGGCGCTGAACACTGCTCCTGGACCAGGCTCAGAGACGGGGACGGGGACAGGGACAGGGACTGGAACAGGACTGGGCACAGGGACAGGAACAGCATCAGGGGAAGGCACTGGAGCTGGACCCACTGCTCCTCCATCTATGCCCAATTCACGACTGAGCGTTGGGCCATTGACCTCCACGTCGGCCTCTTCGTCCTCGTCTCTAGTCGCTGCCAGCGTTGAGAGTTGACCTACGGTCAATGCTCCTCACCAGGCAGACAAAGACTAGGCAAATACTCGCAAGACAAAAGCTTTTAGCATAAGTACCTAGTTTTCGAGTTTCAAACGACTCCACCATAGATCAATGCTTGGAACAGCCGGAAACGGAATAGAAACGGAAACGGAAACGGAAACGGAAACGAAAACGAAAACATTTCCAGCTCTTGATGTTCCTACAGTTTCAGTTCTGTTTCGTGAACCATGAGCATTTATTTTTCAATGTAATTATGTTTATTTCCTCTGTTTAATTAGTTAATTGTTTGGAACTAAGCTTAAAGTCAATTTATAAGTAAATAACCATTTTTGGCATACTCGTATTTTTTCTACATGCATACATAKATATACATACATACATATGTATAAGTATTAAACTGCTTACAAATCTATTGATGTTATCTAAACCAATGTATCCTATATATACATATATACATATATATGCATGTGTGTTTAACTAAGTATACTTGGAACGTCTGTGAAATTCAATATGTATATAAATATATTTAAATGTACATACATATATATTTATGTGTATATTCAATGTATTGTTGAAGATCAAATAAAAGTTGGAAAATACCAAGATATGAAATTAAAAGCTCGTGCCTAGACTTTTACTTTTTTGGTATTTTTTAAGACGTTTCGGCCTGGAAAGCTTGGAATTGTTACCTGCAACAGCTGTTGCACTCCAATAAGATTGCCAAGAGCTTTACACCCTGCCGTTGGCATTGTGTCTCGGCTAAGCGAAAGCATTTCAATTTACATAAGATCAGCAAAAATCAATTATTTCAATAACATACTTAGCCAAAGATTTAAGCATATGTGCAATGCTTTCTTTTTATTTTTTTCATTCCCATAAGCTAGTTAGACATTTTACCTGTAGCAGCTGACTGACTCCAATCAGCAGGTTTATGTCTCTGCTAATCCGTCTTCTACTTATATAAGAGTAGCCCTGAGTAAGCGTAGCTCAATCTGTTTGTTCTTCACACTTTAGAATACTTAAATTTATCATTCGATCTGAAAACTTTTGATTCAAATAATGTTTTTGATTTACAATAACGGATTATACCGCCTCCAGCCCAAGCAGTTTATTCAAAGCAGAACAGTTGATTCTCATTGCGCGTCCAGGGGTATTTTCTTTTCGAACCCATCCATCATGGACATGAACCATTCGGCGACCAATTTAACGCTGGACGCACTTAAGAGCGTCGTCTCGCAAGCTCTTCTGGGCAAATTCACAGCTGTTTTTCCAAAGCTTTTCAAGTGCCAATGGAAGACATATGAAGGTCAGAAGAAGGTTAGTTAGTACATCATTTGATTACATTCGAGGTAGGTCTCTGTCGTTCGTTTAAATACGAATAAAAGTAAAAGTGAACTTTTCCCGGCGATTTATCAATCAAAATTTTAACATTTACTACCTACACTCCAAATTTCTCTTATCCAATATTTTAATGTTTGATATCTCTTACTTTCCGGCGTGCAGCTCTACGCGAACTTCTCCAAAGACACCGTCAGCAACATGAGTGGCCGTAAATTCTGCGTGGGTGGCAACTGGAAGATGAACGGCGACCAGAAGTCGATTGCCGAAATCTGCAAAGTACTCTCCGATGCCCAGCTCGATCCCAACACCGATGTGGTCATTGGTTGCCCGGCCATCTACTTGATGTTCGCCCGCAATCTGCTGCCCTGCAGCATCGGCGTGGCCGGCCAGAATGCCTACAAGGTGGCCAAGGGCGCCTTCACTGGTGAGATTTCGCCCGCTATGCTGAAGGATGTCGGCGCCGATTGGGTTATCTTGGGTCACTCGGAGCGTCGCGCTATCTTCAAGGAGTCGGACGAGCTGATTGCCGAGAAGGCCGAGCACGCCCTGGCCGAGGGCCTGAAGGTGATCGCCTGCATTGGCGAGACCCTGGAAGAGCGTGAGGCCGGCAAGACCAACGAAGTGGTCGCCCGCCAGATGTGCGCCTATGCCAAGAAAATCAGGGACTGGACCAACGTAGTCGTTGCCTACGAGCCCGTTTGGGCCATTGGAACCGGCAAGACAGCTACGCCCGATCAGGTAAGTGCAAGGCTGCAAATTGCTCTCCGATGATCAGGGTCTTACTTTCATACTCTCACATTTTCACCTTGCAGGCCCAAGAGGTGCACGCCTTCCTGCGACAGTGGCTGACAGAGAACATCTCGAAGGAGGTGTCCAACACTCTGCGCATTCAGTACGGCGGCTCTGTGACGGCCGCCAATGCCAAGGAGCTGGCCAAGAAGCCCGACATCGATGGTTTCCTCGTTGGCGGCGCCTCCCTCAAGCCAGAGTTCGTGGACATCGTCAATGCCCGCAAGTAAATGCATCTTACGCCGCATTTGCAGCAGCTCGCCAACTGCCCGCACAAGAAATCTGTTAACCATATAGGACATACATATATCGCATTACGCAAAATGTTGTTGATCGCTTAGAGAAACGCAGTTAAGATGGCGCTGGATTGTAGTAATCGGATGTAATTCAAAATTCCTTGTTCTCAAAAGATATTCCTCATAACTTATTCACATTTTGGCATCCACAACACACTTCGAGTTGCTATCAAAGGATTATTTGAATTACACTCATTATATATTTTAAAATTTGGACGCTAAGACCTCAAAATAAATGTTAAAAATATATATATATATACAATAATATGTTTCAAAATTCACACATATGTGGAGATAAGTGCAGGCGAGGCGTACCTTAGACCTATACAGATGCAGACGCTGAATAGTCTACAGATAAGTTTTAATTACCGTATACAATTGTGCTTTGGACTTTGATAAATGTATATATAGAGAAACTACCTCTGGCCCCATAGCAAAATATTTATTTGAGACCACATAAAGAACTGCAGTCGATGAGCTATATTCGTTTGTCGCAATTAGAATATATGAGATGATATATTCTATATATACATAATACTAGTATTTGTATTTTATGCACACTTGATTGTCGAAAAAGACAAACAGATATTACATCATTATCAATATCATCTTACATTTTCCTATTCGACCTATTGCCAACTCTCTAATGTAGCTCAGTAGGCTGTCTAGGTCCGAATTGACATAATGTAGTCTTAGTCTTCGATTTGTTTCTATTCCTCATCGTTAAAAAGATTGGGTTTTCTAATCAAAAAAATTTTATATATTTTTAAAATTTACACATCAGATTACCAAATTATATATAAATTTACGTTAGTCGAAAACCCAATCCAGTAGTAAGACGCGAAACAATTTAACGGATAAGCATTACAATGGAACAGCAAATTAAGCAATTATACTATTTCGATGCTATTTTGGAGAAATCAACGCTCAAACACAAGCCAGGGGAGCCCTGTCCTTACACGTATATGGTTTGTCCATATAAACAATACTTAAAAGTGACAGATGATCGTATCTATGGCAAAGAATTTCCCGATGAGGCTCTGGGCGAATTCGTGGCCAACCCATACGAATTGGCTGAATCCCTGACATCCAAGGGCATCCGCTTGGCTATCTACGAGAATGGGCAACTGCTGGGCTGCGGCTCCTTTAGGCCAATCGATGATATTCTGCGCCCGCTGACTGAGCCAACATTTACGGCCACCGGGGCCTACACCGTCGATGCGGAGCAGGAGGGGGTGCGAGTGGCGCGCGTTGACTTCAATATCAAGTTTAGTGCTGCCGATCCCCAACTGGAGTAAGTAGCCGCTGGAGTGCTAAGCCACTCTTTAGCCACTCATCTATATGTATCCATATATTGCTGTTTCTTTCAGCTCACGGATGATTCCGTTCGGCTGTTTTGATATCTGCCGAACGCTCGATACGTCCATCAATCCGCGTGACATAATATTCACGCTGGGCCGCTCCAAACGAACCGCCGCAGTCGCGTGCATCACGGACAAGCGTCTAATGTCGTTTGGCGAGGCTCCCTTCAGCTGCGTTCGCAAGGAGGTCAACTCGACTGCCGGCTGTGGCTGCGTGCTGCATGGCACGGATACGGTGGTGCCCAAGGCACTGGATCGAAGCAAGGAGTGCGAACGTGAATTGCTCAATCGGCTGCTCATCGAGCTGGAGTACGACAAGATGTTGGTGCCCACACCGCCGCCGACCCATGCGCTGTCCAGGCAGTTCAACGGCTCGAGGCAGGCCAACTACTCGAGGCAAGCCAGGTGCAGACCGGGACAACAGCGTTGCGGATGATCGAGTGACTGGCCAGCTGTCCAGCAGCATCGCGTCTACCGGCTGAAATACCAGCAAGAGGAACCTCAGATACCTACGATTGGCAGTGGCTGATAGGAAATACGCCAGCGGCTCTCAAACTGCTGCCAATGCCAAGTTCCTTCGATCAGCTGCTGGTGGGTCCTCTCTGAAGAGATTTCGTAGACATTAACAAAGCCCGCACCGTAATGCGGACGGATAGTAGTGATCGAATGTTTAAATCCAAATTCCTTGTTCACAAAATGCACCGAAGATTTTAACTACAGATTTATGCAAGGTTTTGCATTCCAAATAAATTTCAAATAGCTGTCAAATCACGTGGAGAGTTTACTTATCTTGGCAATAAATAATACGGCGGAAGATTAAAAGGCCAGCAAGGCCATAAATGAATGGTTTAGCTATATTCTTGGTGTATTGTTATCTGAATACTCTGCAGATCCATACAAAGATGTTTAATATGAATTATGATCTTTGACAAATCTTTAAATCTCTCAAGCTCCTTGCAGGAGTCGAGAGAAACTATGTTTATGCCGACATCTAGTTCACGGATTTAATATTTTTTCAAATATATTTTTTTCCGATTCTGAACTCAGCATGCTTTTTTTTAAATGTTTATTCATTTCAATTCAAGTCAATTATAGTAGATCAGTTTTTCCAAGCAGCAAATTTTATATGAAAGAAAAAAAATTCTCTTTTTAAATATATATTTTTACAAATTATATATAATTATTGGCAAATTTCATATAAATTACCATTAGCCGTACATCCAGTTGAGGAATCGTATAATTCAAATGCTTCATTATGGATAACCTTAAGCAATGCTATGCGTTCAACATTATTGTGCTGCAGTCAAGTCTACCCGTTGTCGAGGGGGAGGAGAGTCCGTATAGGTATAGAGTGCGTCTATACAAAGACTTCATGGAGCTGTCCCCAGATCGAGTGGTAGCCGACCATTTTCCAAATAATCCGATTAGCACCTTTGTGGCCAGTCCCTGCGATTTGGTTGGCTCCCTGAGCTCCAAGGGCATCTGCGTGACCGTTTACGAAAATGACAATTTGTTCGGCTGCGGCACCTGCAGACCTTCGACTGGACTGCTGCGCATGCTGGCGGATCCCACCTTCTCCTGCACTGAGAGCCTGAACATCACCTTGGAAAAGGGCAAAAGGCGCATGGGTCAGCTTCACCTGAAAATCAATATCAGCTCCGTCGATCCGGATCTAGAGTGAGTAGCGACTGCCGAGCGACAGGGGAGAGATCCATTTCATTTGCCTTCTATGTTTCTCCTCAGCGCCCGCCTGCTTCCCTTTGGCTGCTATGATGTCTGCCGGCCGCAGGACAAGTCAGTGAATCCGCGTGACATAATATTCACGCTGGGCCGTTCCCGGAAGTGTGCGGGCACCACCTGCATCACAGACGAGCGCCTCATGTCGCAGGCCGGAGCCCCCTTTAACTGCACGCATAACGAAAACCCGCCGGCTGGCAAGGAATGTAGCTGTGGGGTGCGCGGTGCGAAGACACCGCCAGCACTGGATCCAACCAAGGAACGTGAACGTAAAATGCTGAAGAAGCTGCTGGTGGATCTGCAAATAGACAGGGAGCGTGTGCCCACTCCACCGTCGGGGCATGAGCGGTCCAGGCGATGCCAGTGCGTTCGATCTGATGCAAGCAGCGACAGCAGCAGCTCATACGATTCCAGCGACAGCTCGCTGTACCAGGATCGAAACATCGAAAAACCATCGAAACCAGAATTCGATGCCCCTCTTTCGCCCCAACAGCTGGAGGAGCTGCAGGAAGTGCGCAAGCGCGCCCTGGGCGCCTGTCCCATCATCAGGGCACCGGAGCTGGCCACCGCCAAGTACACGCCCCCGCTGCTGTGCTCCGTGTGCCATGCCAACATCACGTGGCTGCCCAAGTTTGCCGCCTGCCCGTATTGCGGCTACAAGCGCTGCGACCTGGAGCAGCCCAGCGAGGAGCCGTTCGATGAAACGGCCACCGCAGCGGATGTCCTGCGCGATCACATGCTCCACACGCGCGTGAGCAGTGAGTCCAGCCAGAGAAGGCGCTTCACGTGCAGCAACGGCGACTCAGCGTCATGCAGCGCTACGAAGATCACCAAGACCTGCACCTGCAAGGGGGGACGTGTCTGCACTCGCTGCCGCATCCAGCAGCTCTGCGATAATATGGTCGATACGAAGCCCAAGTCGCCGGAGAGCAAGTCGCCTGCGCGGCCCCTATCGCCGAAGAAGACGCCATCGACACCGTCACAGCATCGCGAGCATCTGCTCAAGATCTTCTCCGATATGCAGAAGGTGGTCGGCGGCAAGCCGTCAGCCAAGGAGGTGGCCGACAATGTGCTGAAGCAGTGCGCTGAGATCACACGGAAGGGCAAGAAGGGTCGCCGACGGTCGGCGTCAATTAAGAAGCTGCTTAGGGAGATGGAGGAGTGTGTGCCAACCAAACGGAAGAAGAAATCCAAGTGTGTGACACGGAAGAGCAAACGTCGCAAGTCCAAGCGGTAAGTTGCCACCCAGACCATCCATTGGGTCAGAGAGATCAATGGGAGTTCCCTTCTCGCCCTTAGCTATACGTTCCTGGTGCGCAAGGATCCGATTCGGCAGCCAAACACCCATCACACCTGCTCGCAGGGCAGCGGCCGAGTGCCCTGCCACATGGGCTGGATGTGGACCAAGAGCGAGCTGGCAGCCCACCACAAAAGCTGGAAGCCAGGCGCCATCAAGAAGTCAATACGCGAGCTAATGGCCTACTTCCTGAAGGACTACCCCGCAGACAAGATCGTGAACTCGCGCTTTCACTATCGCACCCGCAAGGAGCCGGACAAGTGCGCTGTCGAGGAGCCCCTCATACAGCATCCGACGCTGCATATAGTCAAGAAGCACGACGAGTACACCATCACCCTGCGGCCGCTCAAGGATGCGAAGACCCTGGCTGTGGCTGCCAATCCGTATGCGAATATGAAGCCAGTCGTCTTCCGCATTTCCAAGGATCCAATCGCGACCGGCAAGCGCAACATCAAGCTCGGCCTCAACGACAGGGGCTATGATGTGTGCACCTGCCATCAGCCGGTGTCCCGCTGCTTCTGTCGCAGTCATATCGACCAGAAGCTGCTCGTCGAAGATGTGAAAATTCTGAGCGCGGAGCAAGGCTGGCAGGACGTCAGCGACACCTTCGTCTACTCTGACCTCAGCGAGAGTGACAGCGACAACGAATTGGAGTTTGGAGTGACGCCGCCGGCGGGCATCGTCAAGCCGGAGCGCTGCAATCGACCCGATCGGGTGAACTGTGAGACGCAGTACAATGAGAACGACTGGGCCTTGCCCACCATGTATCCGCATCCGCCCAACGCCCAGGTGCAGTACGGCGGCTGCGTTATTGGCGAACGCAAGGACAGATTCCCCTGGATCTTTGGTAAGGGCTTCGTGCATCGGGAGCCAAAGCCGCCCAAAATGATCAACAGACGTAAGACAGACAAGCCCAAGGCAGCAGATAAGTCCAAGGGCCGACTGAAGGGTGGAGCCGATACTGCAATCTTTCGAGGCGGTTTCGATCCATACAGCGGCAAGCCCACCTGGCTCAAAGCAAACTAATAGAAACTACAACTAGAATCAAGAAATGAAATTTTAAGTAAAGGAAAAATCTCACGAATCTGTTGTAAACACGATTGGAGAGACAAGCAATGTGGTCAATGGGTCAGCAAAGCGAAGCAGCCAGCAGTGTGCAGATTTTAAGTTAAATATCATCTTTTATGTAATTTAAGGAAACATTTTACAAGTCGAAATCATGAATAAATAAAGCAATATGCAAAATGAAATTGTGCACGACTTTGCCAAATTGAACAATTGAGTTAAACAAGCAAAATAATTTGCATAGAGATATCTGATTATGACACGCATTTATAGTTGCGAAGAAACTTGATAATTTGAGTGAGCATGAATAAAAAGTTCGCGAAAATTTCGCAAATTATTAAAAGTTGTGAAATGGTTAGGAATGGCTCCGAGCGTGATATGAATATTCCTAGTATATTCCATAATTATTACAGATGAAATACATTTATTCATACCCAATGATAATATATTTATTTCACAATTCATAAGACAAAAATGTTAGCATATAATTGCTCCAAGGCCTATGTGAAGACTTTCAGTTGATCAAAGTGAGCCATGAGACATTCAAAAATTACTTGGTCGGAGCAGTTCAAAATTTTAGTCATACTCTATTGAAATTTCAACGCGTTGGCTTTCAGGCTCGAGCGAATAAAAATTTATAGCATCGAAATTGTAATTCGTGTATTTGAAATTGAAATTAACTGTAGCTACCGTATTTCCAAATTATAA